GGGAGAACAAGATTCTTCAAGTATTGCCTCAGAATGTGATTAAAGATGGATGGACTGTCAATAAAACCCATAGGTAGCCTTCGATAAGTGAATTTTTGTCCTTTATACATGAAAGCAAACATATCTTGTGAATCTCTATGTAGAGGCACCGAGGAAAAGGCATTTGCAAGATCAATGCATGTGGAAAAACTTGTGTTCAGAGCTTATTGCATTCAACATGGTATATGGATTTGGCGTGGCATAATTAGTTGGAACCACAAGTTTATTTACAGCTCTGAGATCATGAACCATCCTGTAATCAGGTTTTCCGGCCTTTGGAACCGGGTTTATGGGCGTGGTGTGGAACTAAAAACATTCTCATGACCTCTAGTACATGTCGTGACTTAAACATAAGAACATATTATGGCTAAGGCTACAGTTATACACGTCATAATAATAATATTAAACACCCTGTCTGCTGACAGTCATCAACTCTTCTCTCTAGTTATCCTTGACCAGATGTACCCTATAGAAACTCATAAGCATGCCTAAGCATTTAACAGTAACTAGACATCCTATCTCCACTAAACATTTCTAATACATAAAGTATCTATCCAATTTCTATCTGACTAAAAATACCTAACACATGCTAGGTCTAAAACGGTATCAGATGAGCGAGTTGTCAGCTCTCAGGCAGAAACCCCAGTAGAGGCGGTCCTAGCACAACACCCACTGACCTACATTTGAAGCTGCTGCAGGATGCTCGTCATTGCTGTGACATCAGCAATATGAATAATCTGAATACTGCAGAGATAAATCAGAGGAAACACAGCACTCAGCATGCAACATTAATCGATAATATATTCACCAATGTTATGGATAGTAAAATGACAACTGGATTACTCATAAATGATATTAGTGATCATCTACCAGTATTTGTGGTTTATGAGGGCCAGTATAGAAATGACAGGCCAAAAACAAATTTTTTCTATAGGAGGGTGATGAATGAATATCCTGTAATGAGGCTTAAAGATGATTTCATGGGGCAAAACTGGGAACCAGTTTACAGAGAGGATGACTTAGATAAAGCATATGAGCAATTTTTAAACATATTTAAGAAAGTATATGACAGGAACTGTCCTCGTAAGCAGTATAAAAATAAAAGGAATTACAGTGAGAGACCGTGGATGAGCAAGGGATTACAGAATGCATGCAAAAAGAA